GATCCTGCACATCCTCTTCCCCACAACCGTGATCCAAAGCCAGACATATAACTCAAGTGGAGCCAATCAGATTTTTTTCTCCATTGCAGACATCACATGAATAGGAGAAACATAGAGACAGATGGCTAATACAGAGGAATAAAATTAATGTTAACTACAGATCCCAAGAGAGAAGTTTCTAGAAATTCTGCTGCTGAGGGCCCTCCACAGCCTTGGTTTCCTTTCCTTTCCATGTCTTAGCTGGCCAATGTTGGCACCATTTACACATGTAGTGAAATCTGTAAGTTTCTAGAAATTCTGCTGCTGAGGAGCCCCACACAGTCTTGCTTTACTTTTCTTCCCATGCCTTAGCTGGCTGATGCTGGCACAGTTTACACATGTGGTAAAAAGTAGAAGCAGAACACCGTGGTGTTTTTTCCTGGCCCAAATTTAATGAGAACATTGCTGTTAATGCAAATGAATGCCATTCTGCATAATTTATGAAGGCTGTTTATTTTCCAACTTGCTGGTATGTGACAGTATGTTCTGGGTGGATTTATTAATCAAGCTACTACTGTATGTAATTAATAACCTTTCCCAAAAAGTCATCTTAGCAAAGATAATTTAACTTCTGCTTTTCTACTTAACCTAACCTTGGATGAATTGTGAAGACCCTGCTAATGAGGAAAGAAAAGATCATTATTGGCCTCTCACAGTGGCTCACACCTGTAACCCCAGCACTGTGGGAGGCCAAGGCGGGTAGCTCACGAGGTCAGGGGTTTGAGACCAGCCTGACCAACACGGTGAAACTTTGTCTCTACTAAAAATATAAAAATTAGCCAGGCATGGTGACATGTGTCTGTAATTCCAGCTACCTGGGAGGCTGAGGCAGAAGAATCGCTTGAAACTAGAAGGCAGAGGTTGCGGTGAGCCAAGACTGTGCCACTGCACCCAGCCTGGGTGACAAAGCAAGACTCCATCTCAAAACAAAACAAAACAAAACTAGGAGGCAGAGGTTGCAGTGAGCTGAGATTGTGCCACTGCACTCCAGCCTGGGTGACAGAGCGAGACTCCATCTCAAAAAAAAAAAAAAAAATCATTACTGACTTCCATTAATCATGGGAAAATAATTCAAATAAATCAATCCATGTCTGGACTATTTATTTATGTATTTATTTATTTGATATAGACAGGGTCTCACTTTGTTGCCAAGGCTGGTCTTGAAATCCTGGGCTTAAGTGATCCTCCCTCTTTGGCCTCCCAAAGTGCTGGGATTACAGATGTGAGCCATCAAGCCCAGCTGAATTCTTTAGCTTCTAAATCAAACAAACACAGTGAAAGATGGGATATAAACATTCTCTTCATTTTACCACTAACAAAATGTTGTTCATATTTTATATATCAAATTTAAAAGAGAAAAAACTCTGAAAAACATGAACTTCATCTTCCCACCTAATCTAAGACATTAATCAACACTGGTCATAATTCTCTTGGCCAAACATGCATTTATAAAAATTGTATTTACTCGGTTAAATAACATTGACCAAAATCAACCTAGTCAGTAAATGTACAAGACTTCTAATAGACTAAAAACACTTAAGTTAAAGTGATAGTTGTATTTATAATCAGTAACTGCTGCTACCATTTACTGAGCATTTGCTGCTCCTTGGTGGCAGCACAGGGAGGGAATGAAACACAGAGGACAAATTTAATGCCACTACTCTCAAACACCTAAGAACCCAAAGGTAAGAGAAAAATAAAAGAAACAGGCTAGATTTGGTTGTAAAGTAGGGAGAGGAATCACCATAAGTAAGGAGTGGAGATACTGTGGCCCAGACCAACTAGATTTGAATTCTGGCTCAAGCACACAGGCACTGTGTGACCTTAAGAAAACTACTAGACTTCTCTAAACCACAGTTGCCTCACTTATAAAATCAGGATGATGGCAGTAATATCTATTTAATATCTATCTATTAAGGCAAAAAGAACAAAGCTGAAGGCAGTACACCACCTGATTTCAAAATATACTACAAATAGAGTTATTCCTATTTTGGGCTTTTGTGATGATGAAATGTATGTAAAGTAATTTCAGATACTGTGTGACACACATGAAGTGTTCAATAAGTGTGACCTGATATTATTAGTCAACAAGTGTAACAACCATGATATAGGAGGCTCTGGACCAACTACTTTACTTAAGCAATGTCGTTTAATCCTTATAACAATCCTGGAAGTAGACAGAGTTATTCCAATTTTAAAGAAAATGACTGTTTTCTTTAAACACACACACACACACACACACACACACACACGGGGGGGGTGGAATAATTTATTTTTTAATTAAACTGCTTTTTTTAAAAAAAGAAAAAACCTAGGAATAAATCTAACCAGGATGGTGAAAGATCTATGTAAGAAAACTACAAAACACTGATAAAAGAAATCAGAGTTCACAAAAAAATTAAAAGATATCCCACACTCACGGACTAGAAGAATACTGTGAAAATGACGATACTACCAAAGATAATCTACAGAGTCAATGCAACCCCAACACAGAAATAGAAAAAAACAATCCTACAATTCACACGGCACCACATAATACCAGAAAAAGAATAGCCAAAGGCAACTGAAAGCAAAAAGACCAAAGCTGAAGGCAGCACACCACCTGATTTCAAAATATATTACAAACCTATAGTAACCAAAAGACCACGGCCCTGGCATAAAATAGACACAGAGACCAATGGAACAGAATAGAAGGCTCTGAAATAAATCCACATGTTTACAACCATCTGATTTTTGACAAACGCACTAAGAACATTCACTGGGGACAAGACAATCTCTATAGTAAATGGTGCTGGGAAAACTAGATAACCACATACAGAAGAATAACTAGACCCCTATATTTTACAACACCTGTAATGACTAAAATATGTGTCAACTTGCCTGGATTGAAGGATACAAAGTATTGGTCTTGGGTGTGTCTGTGAGGGTGTTGCCAAAGGAGGTTAATATTTGAGTCAGTGGGCTGGGAAAAGCAGACCCACCCTTAATCTGGGCGGGCCAATCTAATCAGCTGCCAGCAAGGCTAGAATATAGGCAGTCAAAAATATGTGAAAAGAGACTGGCCTGGCCTCTGAGCCTATATCTTTCTCTGTGCTGGATGCTTCCTGCTCTCAAACATCAGACTCCAAGTTCTTCAGTTTTGGAACTCAGACCGGCTTTCCTTGCTCCTCAGCCTGAAGACAGCCTATTGTGGGACCTTGTGATCATGTGACTATGTGAGTTAATACTTTAATAAACTCCTCTTTATATATATACACACATACACATACACACACACACACACACACACACACACACACACACCCCTATTCCATTAGTTCTGTCCCTCTAAAGAACCCTAATACAAATGTTGGTACCAACAGTGGTTCTAGAGGAATAGAATATTAAGGATGGAGTTCTTTCACTGGTTTTGGGGTTTCTGGAGTTGGCTGTTTAATATGATTAGACCTCAAAATGCTAAGGATTCTACTTCTATAGTATGGAGAATACTGTTAGTCCTTGGCATGAACTGTTTAGAGAGTTACGCACAATAAATGCATTTGACACTCCTTATTCATCACACGTGAGAGGCAAGGAGTTTAGTGACTCAATACATAATACCTTTGACCATATGTGGAGAACCAAGGAACACAATGAAGCTGGTAATGAAACTGGCTGGTTGCTTCTAAGTTCAGTGGACAAAGTGATGAAATAAAATGAACTCAGGGATTCTATCTCCTGGCTTCAGATGCAGATATTGAGCCTCAAATCTGGTAAGATTGCCTTAGGTGAGAGTTTCATCTCCTCTAGAGATATAGCTGAAATTATGGAAAAACAGACACAAGCTCTTATCATTTGAGTGGCTGACCCACAACAAAAGGTGCATGCATAGCCTGGCCAGGTGTCTACTGTTAAAGTGGGGGCACTGATTAGAAAAGAATGAGACCCTGCAACTTGGAATGGGGATGTGTGGGAGGACCCTGATGAGGCTGAGGACACTGAGTTTGTAAATTCTGATGAAAATTTTTTGCCAGAAGAAACAGCTTCCCCATCCCCAATAGTGGCAACATCCCCTCCCCGACCCATGCTGCCATCAGCCCTTCCACCTTTGTCTGAGGAGACAAACCTTGTGCTGCCTGAGGCAGTTGTGAGGCAAGATAACACTGATTCTCCTCAGAAGCCACCCGCAACACCACTGTTTGCTTCTAGACTGGTAACTAAAGTCCCAGCGGGCCCCTAGAGACGAGGTTGAGAAATGTGACCCATGAGGAGATATGCAAAACTCAAAAAGAATTGCTTAAGTTTTCCAATTCATATAAACAGAAATCTGCCGAACAGGCATGGGAATGGATATAAAGGGTGTGAGACAATGACAGACGGAACATAGAGTTGGATCAGGCTGAATTTATTGATTTTGGCCCACTAAGTAGGGACTTTGCATTTTTGCAGCTCAGGGAGTTAAAAAAAAAGGTTCTGATAGTTTATTTGCTTGGTTAGCTGAAATATGGATTAAAAGATGGCCCACTCTGAGTGAGCTAGAAATGTCTGATCTCCCTTGGTTTAATGTAGAGGAAGGGATCTAAAGGCTTACCGAGATTGAGATAGTGGAGTAGATTAGTCACTTTAGACCTACTGATCCCAGCTGGAGGGTCCAGAAGATATACCCTTGACCAATGCCTTGTGAAATAGATTTGTGAGGGCAGCACCTCCATCTTTGAAGAGCTCTGTAATTGTTCTTCTCTGTATGTCAGATCTAACAGTGGGAACGGGAGTCACTCAACTACAAAATTTAAATTACAATGGGAATAACTCGATCCCGAGGTGGCAGGAGCCAAGTGGTGACAATCATCAAAGGCAAGGTGGTTGTAGCTACTGTAATAGCCAGCAGAGGCAAAGTGGCAATCAGAATAGTCTGACTTTTGTAGAGTTCTGGCACTGGCTAGTTAATCAGTGCTCCTAGGAGTAAAACTGATAGGAAGCCTACAGCATTTTTACTTAATTTATGCAAGCAGGAAATTTCTAGGTCAAATGCATGAAAGACTAATTTGAATTATAAAAACAGAGAATCACGGCCCCTCAATCAATTTCCAGACTTGAGCCAGTTTACAGACCCAGAATCCCTTGAATAAAGGGCAGACTAGGTCCCCTTAAGGAAGGGCCCCACTACACTATCAACAATTTATGCAGTGAATCTTTCTCCCATCCTTCCCCAAGGAGACCTCTGGTCTTTTACCAGGGTAACTGTGCATTGGGGAAAGGGAAATGATCAGACATTTCAGGGACTACTGGATCCTGGCTCTGAGCTGACAGTGATTTGGGGGGACCCAAAACATCATTGTTAAAGTAAGGACTTATGGAGGTCAGGTAATTAATGGAGTTTTAGCTCAGGTCTGACTTATAGTGGATCCAGTGGGTCCTCAGACTCATCCTATGGTCATTTCCCCAGTGCCAGAATACATAATTGGCATGGACATACTTAGCAGCTGGCAGAACTCCCATAGTGTGAGGGCTATTATCGTGGCAAAGGCAAAATGAAAGCCATTAGAGCTGCCTCTCCCTAGAAAAACTGTAAATCAAAACCAATATTGCATCCCTGGAGGGACTGCAGAGATTAGTGCCACCACTGAGGACTTGAAAGACACAGGGGTGGTGATTCCCATCACATCCCCGTTCAACTCTTCCAATTGGCCTGTGCAGAAGAAACATGGATCTTGGAGAATGACAGTGGATTATCATAAGCTTAACCAAGAGGTGACTCCAACTGCAGCTGCTGTACCAGATGCAGTTTCATTGTTTGGGCAAATTAACACATCTCCTGGTACCTGGTATGCAGCCATTGACTTGGCAAATGCCTTTTTCTTCATTCCTGTCCATAACCACCACCAGAAGAAATCTGCCTTCAGCTAGCAAGGCCAACAAGCAATTTACTGTCCTACCTCAAGGGTATATCAACTCTTCAGCTTTGTGTCATAATATTATTCAGACATCCTGATCACTTTTTACTTTTGCAAGATATCACACTGGTCCATTACATTGATGACATTATTCTGATTGGATCCAGTGAGCAAGAAGTAGCAAACATACTGGACTTATTGGTTAAGCATTTGTGTGACAGAGGATAGGAAATAAATCTGACTAAATTCAGGGACCTTCTAACTCAGTAAAATTTCTAGGGGTCCAGTGTTGTGGGGCCTGTTGAGATTTCTTCTAAGGTGAAGGGTAAGTTGCTGCATTTGGCCACTCCTACAAAAAAGAAAGAGGCCCATCACCTAGTAGGCCTATTTGGATTTTGGAGGCAACACATTCCTCATTTGAATGTGTTACTCCAACCCATTTACCTAAAAGGTAACCATGACCTAAAAGGCTGCCAGTTTTGAGTGGGGTCCAGAATAGGAGAAGGCTCTGCAACAGGTCCAGGCTCTATGCAAGCTGCTCTGCCACCTGGGCCATATGACCCAGCCAATCCAGTAATGCTTGAGGTGTCAGTGGCAGATAGGGATGTTGTTTGGAGCCTTTGGCAGGTCCCCATAGGTGAATCACAGCGGAGGCCTCTAAGATTTTGGAGCAAGCCCCTGCCATCTTCTCCAGATAACTATTCTCCTTCTGAGAGAAAGCTCTTGGCCTGTTACTGGGCTTTGGTAGAAACTGAACATTTGACTATGGGTCATCAGGTCACCATGCAACCTGAACTGCCTATCATGAACTAGGTACCTTATAACCCATCAAGCTATAAAGGAGGTCATGCACAGCAGCATTCCATCATCAAATGGAAGTGGTATACACGTGATTGAGCTCAAACAGGTCCTGAAGGCACAATAAGTTATATGAGGAAGTAGTTCAAATGCCCATGGTCCTCAGTCCTGCCACCCTGCCTTCTCTCTCCCAGCATGCACTGATGGCCTCAAGTGGAGTTCCCTATGATCAGCTGACAGAGGAAGAGAAGACTGGGGCGTGGTTCACAGATGGTTCTACACAATATGCAAGCACAACCGAGAGTGAACAGCTGGAGCACTACAACTGCCCTTTCTAGGACATCTCTAAAGGACAGTGGTGAAGAGAAATCTTACCAGTGGGCAGAACTTTGAGCAGTACACCTGATTGTGCACTTTGCATGAAAAGAGAAATGGCCAGATGTGCGATTATATACTGATTCACGGGCTGTGACCAATGAATTAGCTGGATGGTCAAGGACCTGGAAGAAGCATAATTGGGAAAGTAGTGACAAAGAAATCTGGGGAAGAGGTATGTGGATGGACCTCTCTAAGCGGTCAAAACTGTGAAGGTACTTGTATCCCATGTGAGTGCTCACTCAGCAGAGGAGGATTTTAACAATCAATTTAAAGTGGATGGGATGACACCACTCAGCCTCTTTCCACCCCTGTCATCGCCCAATGGGCCCAAGAACAAAGTGGCCATGGTGGCAAGGATGGAGGATACACATGGGCTCAGTAACATGGACTTCCACTCACCAAGGCTGACCTGGCTACAGCCATTGCTGAGTGCCCAATTTGCCAGCATCAGAGACCAACACTGAGACCTCAATATGGCACCATTCCTCGGGTGATCAGTCAGTTATCTGGTGGCAGGTTGATTATATTGGACCTCTTCCATCATGGAAAGGGCAGAGGTTTGTCCTCACTGGAATAAACACTTACTCCAGATATGGGTTTGCGTATCCAGCATGCAAGCTTCTGCCAAGACTACCATCATGGACTCATAGAATGCCTTATCCACCATCATGGTATTCCACAAAGCATTGTCTCTGACCAAGGCACTCACTTTACAGCTAAAGAAGTATGGTAGTGAGCTCACGCTCATGGAATTTATTGGTCTTACCATGTTTCCCATCATCCTGAAGCAGCTGGATTGATAGAACAGTGGAATGAATGGTCTTTTGAAGTCACAATTACAATAGCAACTAGGTGACAGTACTTTGCAAGGCTGGAGCAAAATGTATGCTCTGAATCAGCATCCAATGTACGGTACTGTTGCTCCCATAGCCAGGATTCACGGGTTCAGGAATCAAGGGATGGAAGTGGAACTGGCACAACTCACCATCACCCCTAGTGATCCACTAGCAAAACTGTTGCTTCCTGTTCCTGCGACATTACATTCCGGTGGTCTAGAGGTCTTAGTTCCAGAGGGAGGAACACTGCCACTAGGAGACACAACAATGATTCCATTAAACTGGAAGTTAAGATTATCAACTGGACACTTTGGGCTTCTCCTACCTTTAAGTCAACAGGCTAAGAAGGGAGTTACAGTGATTGACCCAGACTATCAAGATGAAATCAGTCTACTACTCCACAATGGAGGTAAGGAAGAGTATGCAAGGAATACAAGAGATCCATTAGGGCATCTCTTAGTATTACCGTGCCCTGTGAACAAGGTCAATGGAAAACTACAACAGCCTTATCCAGGCAGGACTACAAATGACCCAGGCCCTTCAGGAATGAGGGTTTGGATCACTCCACCAGGGAAAAAACCACGACTTGCTGAAAGCCAAAAGAATACAGAATGGACAGTAGAAGAAAGTAGTCATCAATACCAGCTATGGCCACATGACCAGCTGCATAAATGAGGATTCTAACTGTCGTGTTTCCTCCTTCTTTTGTTAAAAACGTTTGTGCATGTATACAACTTGTATTAATAAACTATCTTCATTTTATTTCCTTTCTCCTTTATCATGTGACATAAGATTTATTGACTTCACATGGCATTTAAGTATTGTTAACTTTATATAATAGTACTGGGGATGGGGATTGGTGTGCTTCTCATTGTACAAAGGACAGTTGTATATTAGGTGTAATTATGACATTATTGTCTTCATTTGAAGATTATGTATGATCCCAGGAGATGTGTATGGGTTCAAGTTGACAAGGGGTAGACTTGTGATGCTTAATAACGGAATGTCAACTTGACTGGATTGAAGGATACAAAGTATTGATCTTGGGTGTGTCTGTGAGGGTGTTCCCAAAAGGATTAACATTTGAGTCAGTGGGCTGAGAAAAGCAGACCCACCCTTAATCTGGGTGGGCACAATCTAATCAGCTGCCAGCAAGGCTAGAACATGAGGAGCAAGGAAAGCCAGTCTGAGTTCCAAAACTGAAGAACTTGGAATCCGATGTTCAAGGGCAGGAAGCACTCAGCATGGGAGAAAGATATAGGCTGGGAGGCTAGGCCAGTCTCTGTTCTCACATTTTTTTTGCCTGCTAGCCTTGGGACAGAACTTTCTCCCATGCTGAATGCTTCCTGCCCTTGAATATCAGATTCCAAGTTCTTCGGTTTTAGAACTCGGACCGGCTCTCCTTGCTTCTCAGCCTGCAGATGGCCTATTGTGGGACCTTGTGATCATGTGAGTTAATACTTACTAAGCTCCCCTTTACACACACACACACACACACACACACACACACACTCCATTAGTTCTGTCCCTCTAAAGAACCATGACTAATGCAACACACATCAAAAAAAAAAAAAAAAAAATCAAAATTTAAAGATTTAAAAATAAGATCTAGAACAATAAAACTGCTACGAGAAAACATCGGGGAAACATTTCAGGACATCAATATAGGCAAATAATTTTTGGATAAGACCCCAAAACCACAGGCAACAAAAGCAAAAATAGGCAAATGGAATTATATAAAACTAAAAAGCTTTTGCACAGAAAAGAAAACAAGAGAGTGAAAAGACAATCTGCAGAATGGGAGAAAATATTTATAAACTATCTATCCAACAAAGAATTAATAACCAGAATGTATAAGGAACTCAAACAACTCAACAGCAAAAAAATAAATAATCCAATTCAATCATGTGAGCAAAAGATCGCCAGAGACATTTCTCAAAAGACATACAAGTGCCCAACAGTTATGTAAAACAACAAAAAAAAACCTCAACATCAATATAAATCAAAACCCCAATGAGATATCATCTCACTCTAGTTAAAATGGCTACTATCAAAAAGACCAAAAAATAATATATGCTGGTGAGATGTAGAGAAAGAGGAATGCTAAAACACTGTTGGTAAGAATATCAATTAGTACAGCCACCATGGTAAACAGTATGAAGTTTCCTTAAAAACTAAAAATTGAACTACCGTATGATCCAGCAATATAAAAGAAGGAAGTCCTGCCATTTGGAGCAACATGGATGAAACCAAAGGTCATTATGTTAAATGAAATAAGCCAGTCACAGAAAGACACATAATGCTATGTTCTCATATATGGGAGCTATAAAAGTTGATCTCATGGAGGTGGAGAGTAGTACAGGAGACTGGGAAGTAAGGAGGATAAAGAGAGGTTGGTTAATGGGTGCAAAACACAGATAGAGGGCATAAGTTCTAGTGTTTGATAGCACAGTAGGGTAACAATTTATTATATATTTCAAAATAGCTGGAAGAGTAGTTTTAAAATGTTCCCAACACAAAGAAATGATAAATGTTTGAGGTGATGGATATCCTAATCACCCTGATCTAATCATTACACATTGTATGTATCAAAATATCACATGTATCCCATATAATTATTATATATCAATCAAAATTTTAAAAATAAAAAAATGAAACAGATGTAAAGCCCTTCAATAACTTGCTCAAAGTCAAAAGACAACCAATGACAGAACCAGACTCAAAGACAGGATGTTCTATTCCAAAGATCTTTTTTTTTTTCTGCTTGATTTTTAAGTCACTAGGATTAATAAAGTAGAAATAGGATCTATACTTGTATGTGGTACAAATTCAAATTGTTCATGACAAAATAAAAGGGAATATTTATTTCAAAATTTCTCAGATACTGTGCTAGAACTTTTGTCAAAATAAAAGCCAACATTATTACTCCCCTTTTAAACATGAGGAAACTGAGCCTCAGGGATGTTAGCCCAAGGTCAGATAGTTTTTAAAAAACGCAGAAGTGGCTGGGCATGGTGGCTCATGCCTGTAATCCAAGCACTTTGGAGGCCAAGGCGGGCGGATCGCCTGAGATTGGGAGTTCAAGACCAGCCTGACCAACATGGTGAAACCTCATCTTAAAAAAAACAAACAAACAAACAACAAAAAAAAAAACACAGAAGTTGGATTCCATCTGCAAGCATAAAAGCCCACAGGCTTTCCCTTATATGCTACCTCCCTAGGATAAATCTGATTTGTCTTTTCTCAATATAACAGTAATTTGTGGAAACTGCTATTCTTAGTAGCAGAAATCATTTCAAACTACTTGCTTAGATGAGAATTAAATAAATATACTACTCATTTCAGGTACATCCATTTTTGACTTGCTGAAATTTGTTTTTAATTAATCAGATTAATAAGAATAGCTGTAACTTTTTCTTTGTATTCGCGATTGTAAGAAAAAGTCCAATTTTGCTAGGCAAGATGGCTTATGCCAATAGTCCCCAGAACTTTGGAAGGCTAAGGTGGGAGGACTGCTTGAAGCCAGGAGTTCAAGACCAGCCTGGGCAACAAAGCAAGACTCTGTTCTGTACAAATAAAAATTTTTTTTTTAATTAGGCAGGCAAGGGGATGCATGCAAGGCTAAGGCAGGAAGGTTGCTTGAGCCCAGGAGTTGGAGGCTGCATTGAACTACGATAGTACAGGCTACCAT